TCTTAGAAGGATGTGGGTGAGAACCTTTCCTGGTATACTGCCTAGTGTGATGCCTCGGTGGTTGCTGCAGTCCCATCAGTCCCCCTTCCCCTTCCTGAGAGGGATGACCATACCCCTCAACAGGTCAAGGGGGACGGTACCGGATCGCCAGATGACAGCATGGAACCCACATGCTATGGGTTCACCACCAACCTAACAGCTCAGCTGAGATACCGCAAATACCTGCTGCTTTACCACTCTTTAGCTTGGAGATCGCCCTTCCCCCTAACTTCAGTTAAGGAGGGACGATCCTCACTGATGGGTGGGTCCGGCAGCGGAATTTCGGCACTACCCGCATTCAAGTTAACTGTTGGTGGGTCAACCTGGTACAGCTGCTCAAAATACTAACCAGCGCTCCCGCACCGCAACAGGATCCGAGACGATCTGGCCACTTACTAAGCGAACTGCTGTCACCTGTGAAGAGGCCTTGGAGTTAATCTTTCTCAGGGCTTGGTATGCAGGACGAAGGTCATTTACTAAGAAATGGCCTTTTACCTCCTCTGCAAGACTCCTAATAAATTGTTCCTTGTCCCTTCTTAACAGAGACCGAGTTCTGCACACCTGAGAACGGTGCAAATCCTGATTCTCTGTCAGACGAGCCGCATGACAAGCAGCTGTGGCATCCAGTGTCTCCTGTGAGATGAAATTCTGTCTTAGTTTTGGGCGTTCCCCAATCGTATCTTGAGCTGCATCAAGTGTATCGCACTTGAAGGTGGCTCACAGAAGTACAGGGGTCTGTCAGATTGTCAAGTGCTGTGAAACGACTAGAGACTGCCTCAGCAAATCCACGAGCACACTCACCCTTCCTCAGCCTGTCCAAGTGAAACACCCTGGGGTGATCATTGGACTGCTGGGGAGTTTTGAAATAGACCCGTAGGGTAGCTATAACCGATGTATGGTCAGTACCACAGAACTCAGCACTCCTATTCACCCTGCAATTCTGGAAGATCCTCCAATGAGTGCTAACGAGTATGTGGCCGAACTCCTTAGCTGCATTACCCACATTGCAGTACCACGTCCAGGAATGCGGAACTTTCTCAAGATAGAAATTTCCAATTTCTGGGACCTAGCAAAGTCCCGGAAAAGGAGGATTTTCTCCCTGCCGGCATCAGCTCCCGAACCAGCTGGATCACAGCCAGATATCGCATTGAAGTCACCCAGATCAAGAATATCTGACACAGATGCTAGGCGTCATCTGTGTCAAACATCGGTAAGAGCGCACACAGCAGTAAGAGACATGAAGCCAAATGATAGCTTCAGTCTCATTATCATTATACGCTCATCGACGGGAGTAACCTCTCATACTGAGAGCCTGAAGTCTGCTGGAGATGGGTATGGCTACTCCCTGAAGATTTTGACTGTCGCTACGGGCCAACCAGTTGTAGGTGTAACCACCTACACTGATCGTGCTGCTGCCAGGTCTTCTCTCCTTCGAGAGAGCACCCAACTCCACTCTCAGCCTCCCCATTTCCTCGACAGCAGAGGCAACCGATCATCCTGACTTAAAGAAAGGATGTTCCAAGCCCCCACCCTGGCTTCCCGCCTGAGGTTTAGCCTCGGGCAGTCGCTCCGGGTGGACGCCACCTTTGCCACCCCAGCTGATGCTGCTCCATACAAAAGGGGGTGGCAGGCTGCAGGATCCATCATCCAACTAGGGGGTTCCCCAAGACTTTCCCCTGCATGCTTCACTCCGGGATGGCGACTGCCGGAACGCAGGCTTGACGCCTAATTCTCGTTCCCATCCTGTGTCCTGACAGTCTCCCTCCCAATGGGGCCCACAGTTTTTTTTTTTTTTTTTTTTTTATCTGGGGGGAGGAGGACTGGCATGGTCCAGCTCCCCTGAGCCTCCCATTAACCCCAGGGGCCTTGGGACAGGAATTGGTACAGGGCCAGGGCGTGTCTACAGGTAGGTGGGCCATGACCCTGAACCTCTAGGGCTTCCTGCTGCTCCGAGAGCAGCATCTCCAGGGCCAGTTGCATCTCAAGGGCCAATCACATCTAAGGGGGGGGCCAGTCACATCTCAAGGGCAATCACATCTCAAGGGCCAATCAGAAGGCCAGTCACATCTCGAGGGCCAATCACAAATTCTCAAGGCCAATCACAGAAGGGTCACATCTCAAGGGCCAATCATCTCAAGGCCAATCACATCTCAAGGGCCAGGGCCAATCACATCTCAAGGGCCAGGGCGGGCCAATCTCAAGGGCCAGTCAAATCTCAAGGCAATCACAAGGGCAATCACATCTCAGGGGGCCAATCACATCTCAAAGGGCCAGGATCTCTCAAGGCCATCACATCACATCATCTCAAGGGCAATCACAATCTCAAGGGCAATCACATCTCAAGGGCCAATCACATCTCAAGGGCCATCAAAGGGCCGATCACATCTCAAGGGCCAGTCACATCTCAAGGGCCAATCACATCTCAAGGGCCAGTCACATTCAAGGGCCAATCACATCTCAA